TGACTGTCACCACCAGGACTCGAACCAGGGACCCTCGCTTGTAGCCAGCGATGCTCTAACCACTGAGCTATGGTGTAGTCGTCATCCAAGCAGAGACCATTCAACGTTTTCTTCAGACTTCGTAACTCACACTTCCTGTGAATCCACAAAGGCGGGTGGGACGCAGCCCTCACTGTACCCACACACTTCACGTACAAACTAGCACGCGGGGAGCCCCAAGTCATAAAATATGAACTGGTTTTGAGGGAAAGAGACAAACGGGAAAAGTCTGAAGAAAAAATTGACTGTCACCACCAGGACTCGAACCAGGGACCCTCGCTTGTAGCCAGCGATGCTCTAACCACTGAGCTATGGTGTAGTTGTCATCCAAGGAGAGACTATTCAACGTTTTCTTCAGACTTCGTAACTCGCAGCTCCTGTGAATCCACACAGGCGGGTGGGACGCAGCCCTCACTGTACCCACACACTTCACGTACAAACTAGCACGCGGGGAGCCCCAAGTCATAAAATATGAACTGGTTTTGAGGGAAATAGACAAACGGGAAAAGTCTGAAGAAAAAATTGACTGTCATCACCAGGACTCGAACCAGGGACCCTCGCTTGTAGCCAGCGATGCTCTAACCACTGAGCTATGGTGTAGTCATCATCCAAGGAGAGACTATTCAACGTTTTCTTCAGTCTTCGTAACTCGCACTTCCTGTTAATCCACACAGGCGGGTGGGACGCAGCCCTCACTGTACCCACACACTTCACGTACAAACTAGCACGCGGGGAGCCCCAAGTCATAAAATATGAACTGGTTTTGAGGGAAAGAGACAAACGGGAAAAGTCTGAAGAAAAATTGACTGTCACCACCAGGACTCGAACCAGGGACCCTCGCTTGTAGCCAGCGATGCTCTAACCACTGAGCTATGGTGTAATCGTCATCCAAGCAGAGACCGTTCAACATTTTCTTCAGACTTCGTAACTCACACTTCCTGTGAATCCACACAGGCGGGTGGGACGCAGCCCTCACTGTACCCCACACACTTCACGTACAAACTAGCACGCGGGGAGCCCCAAGTCATAAAATATGAACCGGTTTTGAGGGAAAGAGACAAACGGGAAAAGTCTGAAGAAAAAATTGACTGTCACCACCAGGACTCGAACAAGGGACCCTCGCTTGTAGCCAGCGATGCTCTAACCACTGAGCTATGGTGTAGTCGTCATCCAAGCAGAGACCGTTCAACGTTTTCTTCAGAGAATAATAATAATAATAATAATAATAATAATAATAATAATGTGGAAGAGAAAAAAGACATATGGATACGAGTTAAGAGTAACTCTCCATCACTGTAACATGATACTATATACAGTCAGAAAGTGCAATAACTAGGCACAAAACTTTTTTTGTAGTCAACTAGTCCATCACAATGTCATGCATGAGGAGTACTGTAGGAGTTTGGCTTTCGGCTTGTACAATTCGTTCTCGCAAAGCTTCCCTTTCTTTACTTTTCTTTGATATTTATGACCCACCCAAGTTGGGTGGTGTGCTGCTTTGCTGCTTCGAATTGTAGTTAGACCGCTTTGTCAAATATCGTACTGGTCTCGTCATCGTCCAGTAACAATCGACATTCTTTGTTCCGTTGGGACTGTAGGTTTTGCTCGTTTTCGTTGCGCTTGCCTTCCCCTCTTTGGTCTTTCCATAACCTTGAACCTTCCAAGTTGGAAGGCTGTCGGTTAGCGCTACGGAGATGTGTCGAAGCTAGGTGTCAGGACGTCGAATGTTTCAGTACTCTGTCAGTTTTGTGCCTAGTTATTGCACTTTCTGACTGAGTATCATGTTACAGTGATGGAGAGTTACTCTTAACTCGTATCCATATGTCTTTTTTTCTCTTCCACATTTATTTATGGCTCAACATCCGAGTTTCAAATAATAATAATAATAATTCAAAGAATCAGTCAGGGAAGTGAACTGCCTGAAAAGAGAAAAAAAAAACGCCAGACCCACCAGGACTCGAACCTGGGACCCTGCTTGTCATGAGCAATGCTCTAACCACTGAGCTATGGGACCAGGCTGAACCTAGAAGGCGCTGACAAATTTTTCACTCCAAAGGCAGCTCACAACACGTGCCACACATACTGATGGCACTCGGGTCTTTTTCCCTCCCCCAGGGGACCAACCACGGTCAGTTTCTCGAAACTACCAGAGGTGAAAGAAAGTCACTTTCTTTCACCTCTGGTAGTTTCCAGAAACTGACCGTGGTTGGTCCCCTGGGGGAGGGAAAAAGACCCAAGTGCCATCAGTATGTGTGGCACGTATTGTGAGCTGCCTTTGGAGTGAAAAACTTGTCAGCGCCTTCTAGGTTCAGCCTGGTTCCATAGCTCAGTGGTTAGAGCATTCCTCCTGACAAGCAGGGTCCCCGGTTCCAGTCCTGGTGGGTCTGGCGTTTTTTTTCTCTTTTCAGGCAGTTCTCTTCCCTGACTGATCCTTTGAATTTGAAGTTCTCCCAAACGTTTCCAAATAATAATAATAATAATAATAATTTGAAACTCGGGTACTGAGCCAATAATAAAAGTAGAAAGGAAAAGGACATATGCAAACGAGTTAAGAGTAACTCTCCACCACTGTAACTAGATACTATATACAGTCAGAAAGTGCAACAACTAGGCACAAAACTGACAGAGTACTGAGACATTCGACGTCCTGACACCTAGCTTCAACACATCTCCGTAGCGCTAACCGACAGCCTTCCAACTTGGAAGGTTCAAGGTTATGGAAAGACCAAAGAGGTGAGATGTGTTGAAGCTAGGTGTCAGGATGTCGAATGTCTCAGTACTCTGTCAGTGTTGTGCCTAGTTGTTGCACTTTCTGACTGTATATAGTATCTAGATACAGTGGTGGAGAGTTAGTCTTGACTCGTTTCCATATGTCCTTTTCCTTTCTAATAATACTAATAATAACGTGGAGCACATTACATACCTTAACAGTCTCCTATCCTGTCCGACGGCATCAGCAATGGCTACTAATCTTCAGCAACTTGGAGCCTGTGATATGCATCCTGTCTATGCTTTTGTAATGCTGACATACTGCTCGAGATGGCACTGGCTACAGATCTTCAGAAACGTGGCCTGATTATCACTCACAATAAGACTGTTGTAATGCTGATCGTTCCCAAGCAGTCGCTCCTTCCTTCCACAATTTCATCGTATTGTTTGCTGCGCGATATCATTTTACCATACAACACCGTATACCGTATTATCTCTAAGCCCACTCTCTTGTAGAACCCAGTATTATAAGCGCACTCCAAGTGCATGTGGGCTTCAAAGATATACAAGCGCAGTCAACCCACACCCACCGCTCTACCAAGTCGACTGTTGAAAGGACGCATAGGCCTGTTCGTGTACATGCTTCAGTTCCGTTGTCCCGAGGTGGCCCACCTACCTACTGAGGGGTGCCATGCATTAGGCTGTCAGCAACAGTTAAGCACAAGCCCATTATCAAGGTAAGGACACTATTGTATTGTACAGTCATCTTCGCTTATAACCACACTCGGCGGCGGGGCATCAGAAAAGTGTCCTTATTCGCGAAGTGTCGTTATACCCGAAGTCTCATTACATGTATACAGGTAGTATGGACTTTGCTCTGGGCATGGAAATTCTGTCGTTATTCGCGAATTGTCGTTATATCCGCAGTCATTATAAGCGAAGTTGACTGTATCGTATTGTATGGAATATCATTTTATCTCATTGGCTCAACAAGTATTACTGTATTACTACAAAATGCCAGAAAACCCGATTATATGGAGATAAAAAGGAAAAGAAGGAGCAAACCAAAAGTGGATGAAGTGAGAAAAAATAACAATCCGCAATAAATTCTGCAAATACTTTTGCCTAACTCATATTCAAACTGATTGAAACGTTTTGGCAATACAATGATGTAGCCAATCGGAGGAAAAAAACATTTCCATCAGTTGAGTGAGCTAGGCAAAAAAGCATAACGTAGGGCCCTTAGCATCCAAGCTCTCTCGTACTTTGGGGCTCCTCATGTACTGTTTTGTGTGTGAAGTGTGTGGGTACAGTGAGGGCTGCGTGCGACCAGTCTGTGCGAAGTTGCAGGAAGTGTGAGTTTCGAAGTCTGAAGAGATTACTGAACGATGTCTGCTGAGATGATAGCTACATCATAGCTACATCATAGCTACATCATAGCTACATCATAGCTACATCATAGCTACATCATAGCTACATCATAGCTACATCATAGCTACATCATAGCTACATCATAGCTACCACATAGCTACCACATAGCTACATCATAGCTACATCATAGCTACATCATAGCTACATCATAGCTACATCATAGCTACATCATAGCTACATCATAGCTACATCATAGCTACATCATAGCTACATCATAGCTACATCATAGCTACATCATAGCTACATCATAGCTACATCATAGCTACATCATAGCTACATCATAGCTACATCATAGCTTCATCATAGCTACATCATAGCTACATCATAGCTACATCATAGCTACATCATAACTACATCATAGCTACATCATAGCTACATCATAGCTACATCATAGCTACATCATAGCTACATCATAGCTACATCATAGCTATATCATAGCTACATCATAGCTACATCATAGTTACATCATAGCTCATCGGGTCCTGCCGGTGACAGTAATTTTGTCTTCAGACTTTTCCCTATTCCATTCACTCAATCAGTGGATATTATTATTCTCAAACAGGTGAAGTTAGCATGCATCCTCGCATTTAACGTAACCAGTCCCGGAGACACTTTCGTTCCCCTCTATTCGGAATTATAATTGGACTACGGGCGCGTAATCACGCACTATAATCAGATAAATGCAGTGTCGGGTTGGGTAAACCCGTCCTCGAAAATTCAGTGTGCATTTTTGGGACGAGTTGTCTCCTCAAATTGTCCTCAAAGGTTACTTTTGGCTGTCAAGCGTTCTGCAGGATTCGAACCTGCACTTATGCACTTACTGTGACAGGAGGGTACTGAGCTCAAACTGCCATCACCATTGCACCTAACTGTAGAGTTGCCCAGCAGAATGTGTCCGTCGGTACATGCATACTGTGCCAGTTCACCATGTTGTATGAAGGAGGCATTACTCACGCCATCCCTGATAGTGGGAAGACTGCAATTGAACTCTGTAGAAAAGGTCAAGAGAAAGTAAGAAAGTTCTAGCAAAGATTACTGCACAATACACCTCATAAGACTGATTGAAAACGGCGGCCCTGCAACACAACAAAAGGACCTGATGCCATAAGCAAAGTGCATACTTGTGGCCGATGCAACTGTGGTTGACGGGGGTCTGAACTAGGGGTGAACGGTTACCCTTTAAGATTACAAACGGGTATCTGGCTTAACGGGCGGGTTATCGGGTACCCTTTATCCGCCATGCTTTTTTCAAAAAAGGTTGCATTTGCTTGGGATCGTAAGCGCAACATGTCTTTTGCAGGCATTCTGATAGGAGAGCAATTTTCGGGCAACGATTGCTACAGTAGCCTTCCGGATTTCAAGCCGGGAGGATATGCGAAGTCATACAAGTACACTACACCATGACAAGCACAGTGTGCACAATCACTGCGCTACATGCTAACAGTCAAAATTGTCGTAGCTACAATGGATACCGTGATAGGTAGCAGGATTGAACGAGGAAAAACACACTCAAAACTGTGCACTGAACTGTACAACTGTACAAGCAAGCTTCTAATACTGTACCCTACAATCCTACAAGACTATCGGGTACTCGTTTGCTAACGGATTAGCAGCTAAACAGACGGGTACCCGGGTTACCCGGATCACCCATTTCACCCCTAGTCTGAACATATGTGCCAATGGTTGTGGAACGTACCCCACGCCCCACACTGTTGGTGCATGCATCTTCGGATTCACCCTTACTAATATGGACTTTGTGCACGTTCTAGTGTCAAATTTCCCCTCACTCTCTGTCTTTAAGAGCAGCATCTGCGCCTTGATCCTTGAAGGGTGGTGGAGTTCCTACGGATGCGGAAAACTCGGCCTCTAGCCGAGTCTGACGTGAACCGTGAAATTTATTGTATTTTTCTCAGTTTTTCGTAAAAGAGGTACGCAGACACAATACGTGACAAGATTAGTTTGTTACAACTCTGAGTTGAATGCTGTGAAACCATCAATAGCAGTAATATCACGTACTGATGAAAATTTTCTGAAGGTACGCATGTTCAAATGCAGCCAATCTGTACTCGATTCTTGCAATCGAAAGTCGAAGAGAAACTCTCAGCTTTCGATTGCAACAATTGCCGAAGTGATAGGATAAAGGATCAATGAGCTTTGGCACTCGACGGCCACACAGCTTCACACGGCGAGAACAACTGCGTGTGCGCTCGGTTTTCATTTTTTATACATTTGTGCCATTTTGCGCCATGGTAACAGCAGTTGAAATTGAGCAGGGGACTTGCGGGAGTTTTCAAAAGAAAAAATTGAGCTTAATGCGAGCAAGGAGAGTGGAATGGCGGGTGAAAGCTCAGTTTCTTTGACTTGCATGACTTCGCAATAACTTTGGGACGGATTCAATTAGCTCTATAGCTGGCCTACGTCGTTGTGGAAACTGGTGCTGTACTTCTTTGTTTTTCTCGTCGCAGCAGCTTTCCAGGAAAGTTTGGATCTACTGGAGACTGGATGCGGAGTCACAACCTTTTTATGTGCTGTGTGTTTTCAGTAAAAAATGAACAATTTTCGCTGATCGTTAGTGGACGGGTGACTACAGACACTACCCTGCAGTGGTTAAAGTGTAAAAAAAGGAAACGCTCAATAAAACAGAACCACAGCTGGGGCGGTAGCATATTGGATGGTAGTGTACAAGTGATATTTTACTTTCAGAACGTACCTTCACAGTGAGGAACTGAAGTTAGATTGCCACCAGCAGTGCAACTTGGCATGGAATCGCCAACAATCCGAAAGTGTTGATTGCATGCATAGGTAATTATTCCTGGATACTCGCCTACTATCTTGTCAGCGGATCCATTAGCAATAGGCGGAACAGCGCACTTCACGGCTGCACAAATAACGAGGACAGGAATGCATTCACACTTAATAACAGGTGCACATCAGTACTTGCAATTTTATTTGATGGAATGTCAAGGGGGGGGGGGGGGGGGTCGGTGCCTCTTGGGGCCATTTTCTACCCATAAAATGTAGCATGCAGGATAATCATCTTGCTGTCCAACAAACTTGCATGCATCGCCAATGAGAAGACATCCAGGCATCTCATTTTCTTAGGGCAGCTCGATACCGACCTCTTGAATGATTATATTGAAGTAGAGTAACCCTCTTGCGCATGTTGTACGTAATGTGATGATTGATACGTACTTTCGATATTGATTTCGCTGGTGCACACGTTGGTGCAGTGCTTGTACACGCGCTGGTGCACGCGCTGATGCACGCACCGGTGCAGCCAGTTGTTTTCCGTTGTACGTGATGCAGCTTGTTGAGGAGAAGGGTTTTCAATATCTTGTGTTCAGTTCTTCTTGCTTCTGGCCTGGTCGAGGTCGTGCTTTTTTCTTCTGTAAACTTCTTGTGCATTTTGGAATTGAAATTAATAATTATAGTCCAACTTATATCCTTGCGCTGGTCTGGTGGTGGATAATTCCATAACAACGTGGTACCGAAACCCGATTTTGAGTGGACCGTTGGCGCTTTGTGGTTAGGTTCTCGGAGAGTATTAATTTTGTTATTTCACTGCCTGTTTCAGTAGTAATGGCGTCGTCTGCTGGACATTCCTTGTTGCGGCCGTATCGTGGAGGAGATGACGACCAGGAAGCGTTCTTGCTGAAATTCCGCGTGGTGTCACGGATACAGAAATGGACATCGGAGGCTAAAAGAATGGACCACTTTCCTTTATTCCTAGACAAGGACGCGTTCACTGTTTGGAGTGCACTGCTGGACGTCGAGCAGACCAGTGAGGAGGTTGTCCATGGTGCGCTCCGAGCCGCTTTCTTCATCACGCCAGCAGAGGCGTATAAGAAGTTTGTGGCCAGAACTCTTCGTCGGGGAGAGAGCGTTGACGTCTACTTGGCCGACTTGAGGAGATTTCTCCGCCAGAGTGGTCATATTGAAGCGCGTGACACTTCGTCAGGGAAGTCGTGTGACCCAGTGCTCCTGGAGCAGTTTCTGCTCGGCATTCCGCAGGCGCTGGCATGTCAGGTGCGCCTCCAGCATGCCTTGCACTCTATGACTGTGGATCAGTGTGCGGATCAAGTTCGCGTGTTGGTTTCTGCAACCCAGGTGTCGGCACCAGTACAGGGTGCACGTTCTGCGGCATTTGCAGCGACGTCGTCTAGTAGCAGAGGACCTAGCAAGCGGTATGTGTTGTGTTACCGGTGTAATAAGGTCGGCCATATTCAGCGGAATTGCCCGCAGCTACCTAAGTCACCAGCATCCGGCGAACCTGTTTGCTATGGTTGCAAGGAGCGAGGCCACGTCCGCAGTGCGTGCCCCCAGCGGAAGGGGTGTGCTGGAGCAGCTGCGAGTGAGGATGTTGGCCATGTCTGCGTTGCGTTGGAGATTGATGGGCCCGCAGTAGCGTTGCCACGGATCTTCTTGCCTGTGAAGCGTTGTGATGCTGTGGCGTTTCGGCGTTGTGTTGCTGCCATCGACTCGTGCTCAACACACACGTTGGTGTCTCGTTAGTTGGCAAAGGACTTGGCACTGGAGGTGACGACGTCAACGCCTGATATCATCACCGTTGACGGCAATACACTCAAGGTATTGGGCTCGGCTGTTCTGGATGTCGAGCGGGTGGACGAGACGGTATTTCTGCCTTTCTCGTCTGTGTCTGTATCAATTGTTCCGGAGTTGAGTGTTGTGAATGCGGATGTGCTTCTGGGCCTCAACCTGATATCGCAGCATGGCGGAGTCGACCTCAAGTACGCGGACTCCAAGCTCGTCGGAGCATCATTCGGTCAAGCAGCTTCAGCTTCCGCAGATGTGCCCAGTTCGGACGTGCGCAGTGATGATGGTGATTCGCCTCAGCTGCTACGCCATGTTACCGTGGAGCATGACGGGGAAGGTGTCATTCTGACCACCGCGGATGGGTCAGTTTGTTGGCGCGCTGATGTTGGCTACTGGGAGCTTACGTGGGCATGGAAAGACGACCCCCCCCCCCATGCGTCCAGTCGGGTCAGGCATTGGTGAATATTCCTGGCATAGCCTGTCAACAGACCAGGAGTCACAGTTCTGCGAGGAAGTGGACATGTGGATCCGCAATGGATGGTTGGTACCCCATGACCAAGCAGTCCATGGTGAGCCTGGTGCTGTGTTGCCCTTGTTGGCGGTGGCCCAGACGCACAAGGAGTCCACCCCTGTCCGCCCGTGTTTGGACTACCGGCTAGGCCTTGGCGGATAATGCTCGAAAAGGTGGCAGATTCTGCTTTTTTTGCACCGAAATTGGCAGAACCATACAAACCTTATGGCGGGCAATTCCTCGAATTCTGCTCCATTTCTTTATCCACATACTAAACATGCATGAAACTTACCAGAAAAAGTACCGAATTCTGCCAATTTTTCTGCCGGCATTATCCGCCAAGCCCTACTACCGGCAACTCAACAAGTTGATTGTGTCGCATCCAGGTTTGGTCGTGCCTGTTTGCCAAGAGAAGTTGCGTCAGTGGAGGTCTATTGGCATCGCCGACAGCCACGTGTTGCTAGACATCAGCAAGGCTTACCTCAACATCCGTATCGCGCCAGCTCTCGCTAAGTTCCAAAGGGTCGTCTGGAAGGGCCAGCTGTTTGCAATGGAGAGGATGGGCTTCGGTCTACCGATTTCGCCCAAATTCATGGACATAATCGTCAAGTGGGTCCTCCGTGCGTATGCTGATGTGGACAACTATGTCGACGATTTGTATGTTCCGAAGCCTCGTCTGCGTGCTGTCACCGATCAGTTGTCGCAGTATGGGTTGCCCACCAAGCCAGCGGAGCCAGTCGTCTCTGCTAGGGTACTTGGTCTGCAGCTGTCAGAGTCTGCAGATGGCCAAGTGAGGTGGAAGCGTCGTGGTGACGTCATGCCGACCTGTCAGCCCGATGCCATCACACGACGCGAGATTTTCAAGTGGTGTGGCAAGCTGACCAGCCACTATCCCGTCGGCTCCTGGCTGCGCCCAGCGTGCAGTTATCTGAAGCGTCTGTCTAGCCTTCAGCCTGGATGGGATGATCCAGTGTCTCATGAAGTCGTCGCTTGTTGTGCGGAAGTCATTCACCGTCTGCAGACCGATGACCCTGCGCAAGGTGTGTGGTCAGTTCCTGAAGGCGCACAGTGGTCGTTGTGATGTGATGCTTCGGACATCGCACATGGTGCTGTCATTCAGGCCGATGGTATGATCGTCGAGGATGGCTGCTGGCTGCGGCAGAAGGACGACCGGCGACACATTAACATCGCTGACCTTGACGCCGTGATCAAGGAATTGAACCTTGCCATGCAGTGGCAAGTGAAGGAGCTCACGCTATTCACCGATTCCAAGACTGTGGCTGCTTGGTTGCAATCGGTGCTTGGCAATGTGTCTCGTGTTCGCGTCAGCGGCCTGCAGCAGGTACTTGTGCAGCGCCGTCTCCAGATTATCACTGATCTCGTCGCTGTCACGGGCTTGACGGTGAAGGTCCAGTGGATCAGTAGTCAGCAGAACAAGGCGGCCCGTGTTCCCAGCAGCTGGATCCGATGTGGCAAGACGCTCCTTGCTCGGACTGCACCGTCCGTCACCGCTGCGGTGGTGACCGTTGGTCCATTCTCATTGGACAGAGTATCTGCTGCTCAGAATGCAGATTCTCGGATTGTTTCGACTCGCCAGCAAGTCATCGATGGTGACCCAGTTACTGATCCTTCGTTTGTCAAGATAAAGTCACAGCTCGTAGTCCATGATGGTATGCTGTGTCGAAGTGTGAAGTTGCCGCCCAATGATGCAGTCGTCACTCCTGTTATTCCTAGTTCACTCGAGTCCGATGTCGTTCGTGCTGCTCATGTGAACTGTGGTCATGCGTCTTGGGAGGGTACATGGCGCTTCCTCCGCTCGAAGTGCTATTTCCCGAACATGGCTGCCCAATGTCAGCAGTTTGTGCGCCACTGTTTGCCATGTGCTGCTGCCAGCCCAACCAAGGGCGTTTCGGCGGAGGCCAGTCGCCCTGTGGTGGCTGATGGCCCATGGATTGTTGTAGTAATTGATACTCTGGAACTGGGCGTCGATCAGAGTGGAGAGTACCATTGTGTTCTCGTCTGCATGGATACTTTCACCAAGTGGGTGGAGGTGGTTCCGCTCCGTCAACATGACGCGGCATCAGTGGCCGAGGCATTTGTCGGCCTGTGTACGCGGTGGGGCCCGCCCCGAGTGGTCCGCTGTGATAATGGCACGGAATTCATCAACGCCGTGATGTCATCGCTGTTTGACACGTTTGGTGTGACAGTGCTCAACGGTGCCGTGCGTCATCCCCAATCACAGGGATCTGTTGAGCGATTTAACCGCACTCTCCTCACCCTAATTCGGGAGGTTTTGGATGAGGCTGATGATTGGCGATCTGAGCTGGACGTGTTATTTTATTTCTACCATATTCGTCCGCACTCTGTCCTCAAGATTTCTCCTATGCGTGCGATGCTTGGCTGGGAGCCCACCAGTGTGCTCTCCTCGGCTAATCCTGGGCTGGGCCGGACTCCATCTGATCTTGAACGCCAGGCTGCCCGGATCCGTGATTTTGTGGAAGCTGAGCTGTCCTCCAAGGACCTTGTTGAGTCTGACGATGATAACTGTCTGTTCGCCGTTGGTGATGCCGTTCTTCTACGTCGTTCCCATTGTCACCAGAAATGTGAGCCGCCCTATGAGCGTGACTGGGTGGTCATTCACATTGTGTCTCTCTCTACTGTGGGAATTCGCAATGAGGCTGGTGGTGGTGAGAATGTTGAACTGCTGAAGCCTGATGTTGGTGCTGAGTTGTTTGTTGATGTGCCTGCTGCGGATGCTGTTGCTGATGTGCCTGCTGCAGATGCTGTTGCTGATGTGCCTGCTGCGGATGCTGTTGCTGATGTGCCTGCTGCAGATGCTGTTGCTGATGTGCCTGCTGCAGATGCTGTTGTTGATGTGCCGGCTGCCCCTGATGCTGGGTCTCGGTTTGATCCCCGTGATCCTAATTATGTGCCGCTTCGAACCCCTGCCGATGATCCTGCTCCGCATCAGTTTCGCCCATATGGTCTCCGTCAGCGTGGTTCGCTTGCACCCCCTCAGCGCTTCCGTTAGTTTTGCTTTGTGGCGCTATTTAGTATTTGTGGTGGTATTTTCTTTGGCATACCACCAAGGGGAGAGGTGAAGTAGAGTAACCCTCTTGCGCATGTTGTACGTAATGTAATGATTGATACGTACTTTCGATATTGATTTCGCTGGTGCACACGTTGGTGCAGTGCTGGTACACTCGCTGGTGCACGCGCTGATGCACACGCTGGTGCAGCCAGTTGTTTTCCGTTGTACGTGATGCAGCTTGTTGAGGAGAAGGGTTTTCAATATCTTGTGTTCAGTTCTTCTTGCTTCTGGCCTGGTCGAGGTCGTGTTTCTTCTGTAAACTTCTTGTGCATTTTGGAATTGAAATTAATAATCATAGTCCAACTTATATCCTTGCGCTGGTCTGGCGGTGGATAATTCCACAACAATATCCAGTGTGGAGTGGACAAATCCCGCTACCCCCTTGACGATAGCCAGGGATCTTTGATATTGCTTAGATGTCTAGAGCTATCAGCACCTAGTGCTGCGCCAAGACAAGTCAGTCGCTGAAGGTGCCTACTGTCACCGCAAACAAGGTCAGGGCCTTCCTTGCACATTACGGTTTAATTGCTGCATTGTTCTGTACTATCTGGGATATGTCGGGAGTCCGGGGAGAATATTTGGCATGTAATTTGTTTTCAGAAATGATATTATACGTGAAGAGAAAAACAAGAACAAAAACTCCAGCACTGTAGAATCATGGTCTGAGCTCAACAATAGCCAGCGAAATACAATTGGGGTCTAAACTTGGGGTCCAAACGGACGCCAATACACTGAGAACGTAGTAAAAAAGTCAACATGGAGTGACTGATAACAATTGTTTGTATTGGTAACACTCAGCCATGATTATTCCACTGCTGAATATCACATAAAAATCGATTTTAGAAACCATGATGGCTGCTTTGTTGTACAATCTCTACAACGAACTCCAGGAAGCAGTGGCAGCGGTCTCCCACTGGAGTTCCAAATAGAAGATCACTTCCAGCAATCCAAATCTCAGGCCCTCATCTTTGACCACCGCAAGCGTCAACCAGCGATTCCACCAGCGCTCTTCAATGGGGTGACTGTTCCTGAAGAGAAGGAAATTAAACTTCTGGACGTAGCATTAAATTGGCAACTGTCCTACTTCGCGCGCCTCCCGGCCGTGGCCTCAAAGGCTGCCCAACGGCTACACTTCTTGAAAAAGGCTCCACCCCTGTTGGACTCTAGTGGCCGCACAGCAGTCTACGAAGGCTTTGTGCGGCCGACAATGGAATACTGCTGCCTTGTGTGTATGGGGTCCTGCACATCCAGGCTGGACAAGACACAGCACAAGACACAGAAGGTTATTGGCCCAGGGGCCTGGCTTCCTAGCCGGAAGCACTGCCGACAGGTTGCTGCACTTTCATTCACCTTCAATCTGACCTACCTTCCAACAACAAGCTTATCCTGGATGTGGGAGGTGGGAGTATCGAAGGTGGCGGAGTATTATAAATTTATAACTTTTTACTATTATGTTATCCAACCAAACCCTTACCATCACAGTAGGGCACTGAAGTGAGATTTCCATCAGCCGTGCAATTTGATGTGGCATCACCCACAATCCAATGACCCTCTTGGCAAGAAAAGGTAACATTGTGCGTGAATTGGACCACGGTTCTGTCAGCAGTGCCATTGGCAATGACAGGTACGTTACAGTACAGCGCTGTGCACAGAATAACGAAAAGAAGAAATGGTACATATACTATTTTAGCATCAGTAACTTGGTAATTGAGAACGCTTAATGTGAAATCTGCGTAGAGTAAAATAAAAAGTAAATTCTCATGCGAAATAATAACAATGCGAGACTCAGAGAGGATGAAGTGCAAGGAGTATAATGAAACGCCTGTTGTCCAACAGTCAGTGTGCTTCAGTTTATGATGGCACTTGTTTCACAGTTTTGTGCCGTGCTTGTAGGTTTAGTGAACTTAAAAATATTGAAAGCTGTTTTCATTCGCTAATATAGTTTGACCTGAGGATAGGTTGGGATTTGAACTCACAACTTCATGGTCACCAGACAGCATTCATAACCACAAGGCCAAAAAAGAAAGGATAAATCGTTGGATTTGATAAAAAATCGATACTGGCTTCCTGGGCAAATTGTAAACCATGGGAAAATGACGGAAACCTGGCCGAAATTCCAACTCCTTAACGGTTGGTCCAATTTTTCCGAAACGTTCACAGAACAATTTGCATTGTCCTGACAAGCCATTCGATGTACTTTGTGGTCCAAATTTCCCTTATCTTCATTCTTTTTAACCCTTTGCCGGCAAGTGCATTTTGTATATGAAATCCATAACATTGAGAAGGATGCCAATAACTCACAACGAGGGCACATTTTAAATGTGCAAGTTATGTTTTCTTGGAAGTCTGGTACTACTTCTTGACCATGGAAAAAATTATTTTCACATACCACACACATACGCTGCTAAATTGGCACCTATACGTCTAAGAACGGAAATTGTACATAGTGCAAATCGTCAGATTCCGACATTGACATGATACTGCCAAAAAAAGTCGACTTCGGAGCGGAAACGAACGTCATAGCCATCAGAGACTTCAGTGGCCGTGCCTCGCTCGCAATTCAGCGCAGCATCGCCCCAGAATCGCTGTCCGATGGCTCCGTAAGGTCGTGCGCAAGTCGCGCTGCGCTGCCGTCAATCAGGTACGTAGAAAGTCGATGGCCTAAAATTCCGTCTCTGGGAGACTGTCGACACGGGGATCACTCTCGATGGCTTTCCCACCATAACCACCATCAGATTCTTCCAGGTACATCACGACGACATCGTCTTCAGCGGCTGGAGCTCCCGATATTTGCGTGAGAATTTACTTGGCGTGCGCTCCGCTCCGCAATTTGAAATTCGCTTGCATCGGCGGCTTGAACGAAGTATTTATCTATCTGTCGTCGGTCCCAGAGCGAAGGTCTGCTAGGTCCTCGTCGGAGAAGTCATCTGAGGACGAAAGGAATTCACTGCGCAAGAGAAAATGCATCTGACGACGTTTTGACGGAGGCAGACGGCATTGTCGGCGCGCGTGTATTTCTGTAAGTTTTCGATCGCGCAGTTCTCAATGAAATCAAATGGGACACGCGTAGATCTCTTCAGCTACGGACAGGATCATACCTAGGCTGTGCGAGGGCCACGGGAAATCCCCGTGGGCTGATGCTTCCTGTCATAACAGGCATGGTTTTAGTATGCATGTCGAATGCGTCGTTTACGACGCATTCAAGTATGGGGCTGCTAGTAAAGGGTTAGTACCCAAACCTGATTGTAAATCTTTTTGAAACAGACTATAGATGACGTGAGAAGTGCTGTACTTATTTGAGTGTGTACAAGTTGCCTGTAAATGAATTACCCCCTTTGAAGCTGCACGAGGGGTCCTTCACAATTTTCAAGACACACAACCCTTACTAAAGAAAATGAAGACCGACTTACGTATTTCACACACAACACGCAAAAGCTGCGCTAGGCCCGCGAAATTGTCGTTGGAGTCAAGTAATAAAGATCCTTCAATTGGCAATCCTCTCCATGCAATGGTGTGTATGTTGGTTAAACCAACCGAGCATAAAGCGTGGAACGACGCTTCAGAGAGGATTGTACCATTGTGCCTGCTACACAGTGCTTGAGCAGAAGTGTAATTCAATTTGAGGCCAGGAGTTGATATTCTAGTTATGCTACCAGATGCTCTGCAAATTGTGTTGCCAATCAGCTCTGCAGTGACATAAACACACATGCACATACACACACACAAACACACACACACACACACACACACACACGAACACACACCAGCACAAACACCCCCCCCCCCCCACACACACACACAACGAAACCAAAAGGTAGCAGTCATATAATATTAATTATGGCAGCCAGTTGAACTCACTGCCATCGTGGTAAACGCCTTGGAGAATAGTTAAAATGAATGGCTAATGAAAATGGAATCTGATGCTTGCCTATGTGTAGAGGCCCCTAGAGACCTGTTTTTATTTGAGTGAACGAGGGTCATTATTTCTTCACGATACACAGGGTAGGGAACAGAAGTCATCAATGTGCAGGCAAGGATAGTAAAACAGGTTTTTAGTTTTGTTTTTGTTGCTGGCAGACCCCAATGACAGGGAAGGCCTAGATGGCCAAAAAAATTTCGTGGTTCCTGGGGGTGGGGGGGGGGGGGGGGGGAAGAAAAGCAAAGAGATTTTTTCAAATCAGTTTTGGTATTTGCAAAGATCCTAGTGATTATCAAGAATCCAGTCCCTGAATATGTTTCCTTGCCTCTGTGTGCTATCGCACACTGGTTCTGCTGCACGGTGCTTACCATCATATCGACAAGAGATATCACTAGCCATTGGTTTAGACTCCATTTGATCATTTTGTCGAGGAAGGCATGCTAAACAAATAGGCAAAGAATAGAAGAAGGTTGTTTATCCAATAATCAAATTTGTTATTTTTGACAGAATTCAGGGTGTTCCAATAAGTGACATTTTTGCACTGAGTTTAATTTTAAGCTAGGCACTTGCAGGGAGCATGTAATTCAAGGGGATATCCCGCAATCATGGCCAAACAACTGCGGAAAAGTTCGACTTTTCCCGTGACTGCAATGCAGAGCGAGATATCTCTGAAACGCGACATCATAAGTCTTCTGCGATTGTTGCATTAGAAAACTGAGCTCTTCGGCTTCTTCCTAGAAATCCGTCCAGTTTTGATTAGGTTATGAGCGTTTTAGTCAATCAACGGTATACCAGATTTGAACGGAAGGGCTCCATAGGGGTTAAAGGGCAGCGGTATCGACGTTTCAAGTAGGGTCCAGAATAAAGAGAATTTGATACTGCCAGGTTTCAATGACATATCTCTCGCTTCCGTATGATAAGCCAAACTTGCCAAATCGCCATTTGTATGCTCACGTTGCCCTATCGTTCATGCACCAAGCAAATTCGCAAACCCTCATTCATGTTGACATTTTTACTACATTCCAGCATATTGGGGTCCGTTCGGACCCCAACCGTATTTCGCTGAGTATCCATGAGCTCAGACCGTATTTTAGAGTTTTGTTCTTGTGTTTCTCTTCACGTACATCACTGCTAAAAACAAACTATGCTTTTCAGCAGAAAGGTGGAGTATGACGTGAAGGTGACATGAAACCAGCCATTGAGTCTTTCCGATTATTTCGCGGGAAAGTGGCGGAATGTGGAACAACACGAATAATGTTTGTGTTGGCACACACAGAAGTTTTCTTCTCTGACACACATACACGAACTGCTTGGTTTTTTGGAACTGGAATTAGATATTTTGGCAACTGCTGCTCAAACAGGCTAGATCAAGGGACACGAATGCGGGTTCCATTCGCACTCCGGACACGTATTTTTGATTCTCCAAATAGTTTGAAGAACATACTGGGTTGTATAGTCCCTTATGGAGCTCTGGTAGACCATTTACTAGCCGGAAGCAAAATATTCCCCTGGACACCCGACATATCGCAGATTCTACAGAACAATGCAGTGTGCTCAACGATTGATGAAAACGTAATATGCAAGGAAGGCCCTGACCTTGTTTGTGGTCACAGGGGGCACCTTCGGCGACTGACTTGTCCTGGAGCAGCACCAGGGGTAGAAAGTTCTGGAAATCTAAGCAATGTCAAAGCTCACTGGCTTTCGTGACAGGTGTCAATGCGACACTGAATACGAGCATTCACAAAATCGGTATCGAGCTGCCCCAAGAAAAGGAGATGCCTGGATGCCTTCTCATTGGTGATGTAGGCGGACTTGCTGGACAGCCCAATGATATACCCTGCAGGCTACAACTCATGGGTAGAGAAATTGCCCCGGGAGGCACCGTTGCGTCTTTCGCTTTGCGGTGTATGTTGTACACAATTTGTCGAGGTTATCTTAGGCACTCCTGCTGTTCAAGTGGAAGATGTGTTCAGGGTTCTGATTTGGTCCCTAAATATCCATGTTAGAATGAATTGAGGAGAGCTAAGCCATAGGTGATCAGCAATATACCACCTATTGTACCTGACTACGATATAGGTTACTGGGGTCCAAACGGACCCCATGCATGATTTCCGAAATAAAATTGAAACCAATCAAGAATTCCTAACCCAGACAATTTGATTACCTCTCATATAATTATATTATATATATATACCCAATGCTGTAGACAGCACGCTGTTTCGGCCATAAAGGCCTCATCAGTACAGCTACGAGCTAAATAGGCTAAATATATATTTTTTATTACAACATCTCAAGACTCGGTGGACACACCGGCCAATGTTAAGAGATTGGGTAATTGCCAACCACGGCGATAAATAACAATAGGGGAGGGAAAAAGAAAGAGTAGCAAAATGAACAGCAACAACAACTCCGTAAAGAAAGATAATGTACAAATAACGTATGTGGAGATAATAATTTTAATATAGCTATGAATAGGATGAAGGCCGCAGACATCACGCAACTACTTTACTTGTTTCACATGTATTACTGTGTATTTTATACCAAAAATATTATTGAAAACCCAGAATCGATTTTAACGTTCCTATCATCAGTGGGAAAAACAGAAATAAGGATACAACCAAAGAAACTGACGTTAAGTACTGTAAATTGAAAGGTGTTAGAAATAACATCAAGATACAAGTGCAATAAAACCACTAGACGAAACGCAAAAAAGGTAACAAGATTACATAACCAAAGGCGAGAAGGCACTGAACGAAGTGTCAACCTACGAATCCAACTTCAGTGCAACGAAATGCTCTTTCTGCTTACACAAAACAGGCTTATGAATACGTATACAAACTGCCTCAAACTGCATTGTATCTTGATGTTATTTCTAACACCTTTCTATTTACAGTACTTAACTTCAGTTTCTTTGGTTGTATCCTTAGTTCCGTTTTTCCCACTGATGATAGGAACGAGAAAAACGATTCTGGGTTTTCAATAATATTTTTTGTTGTAAATACACAGTAATACATGGCAAACAAGTAACGTAGTTGCGTGATGTCTGCGGCCTGCATCCTATTCATAGCTATATCAGAAAGATAATGCCAAATATAAACCGTGAAAAACACAGAGACGCAAAGGACATGAGGATAATGAGCTATTTATGTCGTAGTAAATAATTGTTGTTGAGGAATACCTGTAATTTCATGCTGATATCATGAAAGAAAAGAAAGTTATACCAAAACCAGACCCCTGGGGTCCATTTGGACCCCTGGGGTCCATTTGGACCCCACAACCCAGAATGAGGGTTAAGTTGCCGGGTATTTTGGAAAGTGGAATATGATGGATAAGACAGCACATCATGATTCGTCGTCGTTCTAGGAGAGGTCTGGTCGAGGAAAACATAATATTATAGAGAGTGATCCTAGAAAGGGACTTGGGCATATGATGAAGAACATTAACCCTTTGCGTGCTGAGTATGAGTTAACTCATGCTTTATGCATGACCTGATCCACTACGTACATGTTGACTAGCAAAGAAATTGCGCGATATATCGCAGTGCATAGACCAGTGTACAAACTTTCGTAACTTCGTCATACATAAACACATCGCGACATTCAATACACCCTTGGAAAGGACTTGACCTCATCTTTCCGGGGTGTTACGTTCTTCGCGATAGGATGAGAATTCGTTTAGCGGCAACAAGATGAACACGGAAATCACGGGCCAAAGGGAACGCGAATGTTTTGTTCATGACTTCGTTTTTTGAGGAGCGTGGCAGGGTATTTCCCTTTGGTAAGGCGCATGCGTGATGGACATCCACTGAAGCTCATGAATCTCAGCTTTGCAGCCCAGTTTGAATTGTGAAAATCTGGTGATATCAGTTCGAAAGGCCTTTCTCTTGCTTGCATACGATCAGTCCAACTCGCCAAATCGCCAATGGTATGCTGACGTTGCAATAGCAACAGATGCAGTGATGACATATTTTCGGCTTAGCTCCCCAGATTGCAGGTCGATCCCTGCAGAATTTAGTCATTTTCAATTGGTCTATTGTATTCACGAAGTGAAAGAAGGGCTGTGTTCAATGCTGTTAGTGAACTGTTTTTTATGCCACGGTCACCCGAGCTCGAATCTGCCATTCAGCCAAAAAAGCACTTGTTTACGTCACTATTACCATTGAATTGGCTGAACGGCGACTTTCTGCCGTTTTTCTGCTTGTTTGAGCCACAACTTTTAAAAGCTGCTGAAGGCCGGAATTAAAAAAAGATTTTGAGATCACTTGGAGCACAAGATGTAGTGGACATGAGGCCGAGGAACTGATATCGATGTTCTGTCTTGTTTCTACGTGTATGCCTTCGCCTTGGCTTTGGTTTTGACAGTGTCTGTCTATTCAACAGTTCAGTTTGATTTTCTCCAATGACCATGGATTCCTGGACTGTTCTTCTAGAGGGTAGATTGGTGGAGCTATGGTTCGAAGCAAAAACAAGGCCCCGAAGCCACAACTGAATTCTCGAAGAAAGGTACGAAGAAGAGAATGGATTGCGACAGATTTGAAGAACAGCATTGGCGGAGCAGAAAGCTCAACATCAGGAAAAAATCATCACCCGAATCATCGCGTCCATGCTAACCGAACAAATAATGGCGATTTTTCGTGACTTAATCGTACACAGTGAAGTGGTGCGAAATTTGAAACTTGAAAAAAGCGTCCAAAAAAGGTAACTCAACTAAGGTTCAAACCGCGCAATGTACTGTCTCAGGCGGAGTAATACGGCCTGTATTTTCATGATTTTCCTAATTCAGTACTGGCAAAATTTGGCCGAAGTCCTATTCTTGTAAGGCCTTGTTTTTGGGAGAAATCCACGTCAGAAACACAATGGGAAGAGGATTCCACAAGGTTTTGCAGAACACGAATTCTAAGAAAACTGAAAGATTAACCCACTTATGGCCATAAACTGGAAGTCCATCTTTTTATGAATCGACTATAGGCCTCAAGTGTATTCTTTTTATGCGCTTCTTCTTCAAATTTTCGGTATTTAACAAAAGTAACAAAGTACGCAGACGATCTGCTTTTATGAGGGAGCACATTCAATCACGATTTTCAGGCCAAAGAACTGATGTGCAGCACATGGTTTTTTCGATGGTAGGTGATTCCGTAGGTTTTCAGCAGAAGTTTGCAATGACTTGCGAGTGTGGTACAGTAAACAATCATGGTTTACAGAGAGAAAAACGAATCTGTCAAATTCAACGCATTCGTCCTATTTATGGTAAAGGGTTTTAAAACCACATCATCAGCTCTCTATTGAGCTGGCTCGTGTAAGGAAAAGAAGTCTCTCTTCTAAAGAGATTGAAGGTGGACTTACGAATTTCGCACACTACGAGGAAATGGCGAGACAGGTCTACTCTCATACCAAATGTAGTCAACGCTGTGATATTCTTGTCGGGCGATCCTCTCCACGCC